AAATTACCAAATAACACTTTTACCATTTTCCATTTCGTTTGATTTTCGCAACGTAAAACGAAACACAGAATGAAGAAAAATCGCACAACTGTAATCGACATTAGTGTGCATGTGAAGTGTGCACATGTGTTTCAATTTGCACGTGAACCAGAACAAAATACATAAATCGATGCGGTATTCACGATCGACTGTCGTAAATTAAAATGAACTAAATCATGAAAGAATCACATCGATTGGACGATTTAATAAATTCAACTAGCAAATGAAATAAACGGTCTAATCGGTTAATTGGTGTGCGCATTTGCCGCCATTTCTTTTGTGATTTCAGTCACGAATAGCTAGGTGCATTAAGTCTGATATGTACTGATCCAAGCCGACAACGTTGACCACGACGTCATTTCCAATTAATTTTTTGGAATATATCTGATTTGCATAAAAGACGGAACAAAGTTTATTGAAGAAAAAAAAAGAAGAAGATAGAAGCATAATAGCGGTTGTTTGTTGTTTCTATTTGCAACGCATCAATCCAATAACACGCAAATAGTTTCCTCTACGTTTTGTCGTTCAGCGTGTATCTATGCTCTTTTGACGTTGATGTGCCCGCATCAGGCCGTCATTCTTGGTGCCGCCGCTTTTCTCTTTCGCTCTCGTTTTATTCTTTAGATACCACAAACATTTTATCGTCGAAACATGTGTTATTGGCCTATTGCTTGTTATTCAGATTTTATATGAGAAAAAAAGCCGAATCAATGCTGTTGCCACCATTAAAATTCAAATAAATGGTGTACAATGCAATTACGGTGAAACTAAAAAGAAGAGGGCAAGAAAGAAAGAAAGAGAGAGAGAGAAAAAGTTAACTTTTTATGCACAAATGTATATAAAATGGTATCATGATGTACACTGTTGCATCCCATGTCTACTGGAAGAAGCAGAAAGAAAGAAAGAAAATAATGTCTATGCGGTTTCTATTACGATAATATGTCGAATAGAGCGTATATCAATCCATACATATATATAGATATATGTGTGCAAGAGTGCATGTCAAACAATGACGCATTGAAATTGACGAAATGCAAGTGAAATTGCAATGCCACCTGATACCAAACGATTATTAAAATATTTCTTTGGTTGCTGATGTTATTGGCACTTTTGTTTTTTCTTTCTGTTGGTTTTCGTTGTTGCTTTGATGCGATAAAATGTATTGTTTATATATTGGGTACCAATTATTCAAAATGCCAAACACGAATGTGGCAATGACATCGTCGACACATTGTGCAGATCGATAAACTTTCGCCGGAATAGTTAAATGACAATGAACTAATTTTCAAATTTTTCACATGCAAATGCGATTTACACACGATACGCCGAAACTTATTAATGAATTTTCTTTTTCTGGTGTTTGCATTCATATCACGCCACAACCTGCATGTATATGGGTCATGCAATTCTCGCAACGATCCTCACTTTCGAATTTAATTTGAACATTTATGTTCAAAAGTTGTGTGTGTGCATGTGTTCGTCTATGAGAGTGTAATTGTTGTTGAAATTTTTTTATTGGCCTTACTCCAAATCATTTCATAATCGGCAACTGTATTTTCATCACGAAAATAAACTCTAACCTTTGCTTGTATTTAATTCGATCCGAGTTGACATTTACAGAAAGAAAAAGAAACCGCTTATCAAACGCTGAACATTGCATTAGCATATCTTGTTCGCAACAAATTAAGTTAATTTCATTAGTCGAACACATAATGGGTTCTAGCTGGAAGCAAATGATTCACTTCAATTACTGTAGCACATCTCGATTGTCAAATGGAAAGAGAGTTGTATTACTACTATTACTAAAAGCGATTCTAATTGATTCGATGTAATGTAAACGATACACGACTGATATCGAAGGTGAATTCCTTTCAGATGATGACGCGTAACATATGTTTTGCTGTGTTTTTCTTCTATGACTTGCTTTGAAAACAACAACTTAAATATGTGTTAGAAAACGTCGCTTATCTTTTTGTAACAAAGAACAACTTAATTATGTTAAAAACACGTTGATGCATGGGATATTTAAATTACATCCTAACCGATGACACAAACAGTGGCATTTTTTGTTTCAAAATGCCAATATCGTAATAGGAAATAGAGACCATCAATATTGGCAAATGAATGAGTTTTTATCATTATCGAATCACCAGATTCAAAATGAAACAAAAAACTGCTTGTTTTAGATGATTTTGATTAAAAAAAAGAATGGCACATTCAATCCCATTCTCTCTCTATATATCTTCCGGACTCTCATTTTTCCGGTAATTGTTGGCAATTGTGTAGCCGGCATTTCGTTTTAGATGTGAAAATCATGTTAAATGTTATAAATAACGGTGTTTTCGCACTAAAAAATAGTGGCCAGATTTGATGCCACTTGAAGCTTGGCGTTGAAATGAACGCTTTTTTCTTTTAATTCCAAAATGATATCGCGCGGTGAAAAGTGAGGTTTATGGCTCAAGAAAGAAAAAATAATTAAGTGCAAAAGATCATTTGTGTTATTTTAATGAGCGATTACAGAAACAAAAAAACTCATTCGTTTGTTTAGTTCCCATGTTTGTCTTATGCTGTTGTTGTTCGCATTTTTTTTTAAATTTTGGGTCGCCAAAGCACAAAATGTAATTTATCACCTGTAATAGTATTTTGTTGCGATTAACTGAATATGTCTGTTCTAGTTGCAAGAATCTCAGCAATGCTTATCAAATTTTTCATCATGCGGATTATCTTATTCACTTCATGCGATTCGTCGCTGTCGTTGTGTCCGCGGCTAGATTTTTGTAGGCAGTGATTTTCACGAGACTGTCAGCGTCAAAGTTTTGTGTGTGTTTTTTTATAGATCAAAATCTCTTCACAATTTGCATACATAAAGAAAAAAAACGTGGATGGAGAAATTATAAAAAGGTTGAAATACTCGCATTTTTTTCGGATACATTTTGCAAACTGTTTGCAGGTTTCCAAACTTATTATTTCGTTTGGGCTGCGATTTTTTGCGATGCACTTTGTCTCTCTTTCTCTTTATCTCTTTCTGAAATCGTATACAAAATAGTTCGTTCGTCGGTTAAATGTGCATTCATGCACTCACATTGAAAATGAAGCACACACATATGCCTCAAAATGGAAATGAACATTGAATGAAGAGTTCAGTCTACTCCGATAAAAGTATATACCATACGAAATGGAAACCGAAAGCAAATATCTCATTTCACATTTCGCAAAACAATTGCATTTAGACGCTTGATACTCTTGGTGATTTTTATTATCAGTGGCTTTCAGTTGCAGCAGCAATTTAGCAGCACACAAAGTAAAAAAATCAACTGAAAAAGATAGTTTTAGTTTTGGCACAATCGACACTCGTACTCATTTCAAATTCGGTCTTTTGTTATGTTTTAGACGCTAGTTATTGTGTGTGTGTGTGTATTTTGTGCGCGCCGTTTCAAACACCCCAAAAATGTTGCTTTTAAAAAAAATATTGTCATCAAAATTGAGAGTCAAACACTGCGACACTCATTAAGTCGTCAATTTTATTTTTGTTTTTTGTCTCGAACAAACAAGGCAATTTTACAGGCTTCACAGCAATGGCAGACATTTTTGCAATGAGATTTTTCATTAAAATAAAAACCAAACTGAAGACAAACAAAAGTTGTGTTCATTATTTAAATAAAATAACCATTTTCATAATTATTAGTGTACATTGTAGGGTGTGTTTGTGTGTGTGTGTGCGTGATGCTGGTCGACCAACAATAGTGTGCATGTATTTCGTATTTGCGTTTCGATGTCTATGTCATTTCAGCGCTCGACTCATTTTGATCATGTGTTTATGGCATATTATTGTGTTGAAATTTGGTTTTATCTCATTGTTTGGAAATTAAATAATGAAAAAGAGATAGAATGAATGAAGAAAAAAGACGACAAATACACATGCACATTCGAAGATATATCTCTGCTTGCTCTCGTTATACGAAATCATCGCGTACTCATTGTAGCTGCTGAACTGTCGGATTGATTCGTCAAGTTGCCACTTAGTATCACATTTTTTTTTACGTACAACAACTCGAAATATACATACTTATTTAATGGATCTAACACACAAAAATAGCTAAAATCACTTCTGTAAAGGACAGCGACGACTACAAATGTTATAAACAAGTTTTTTTTGTCTTTCGTTACGAATTTTGTTGTGATTGTGACTGCACCACGTTGTTATACACTTGTCTAGGGTCGCGAACATGGTCGATTACTTTGATTTAAGGTCTTAGTGATTATAACCATTTAATGCGCATTATTTCTTCTTTTTTTTATCCGGCAAACGATTATATCGATATTATATTTTGATAAATGCAATAAACGAAAAACAAAAAAAAATCGTTCAATTTTCTAGAGCTAACAATCGTACAATTATGATGTTTCCTATTGTTTCATTTGAAATTCGTGTACGAGCGCCCGGTAAGTGTATCGATGTACACATAAACAAACAAAAACTACACACAACACACACACTCATATTTCTTTGTGCACATATAACTATAAATGTGTGGCCATCAATGGCAAACTTATTTTTTTTTTTTTTTTTTTCAATATGCATAGTACATAAAAAGCAAAAACAAAAAGAGAGTAAACGCAATGCGCATACAATTTGATCTCATTTGTTTACCATATCTGGTCGCAAAGTCAAAGTCAACGCCGACAATACATTTATATATATATTTTTTTGTTCGTTCTTGTTCATCGGTTTTCTATCTACATGTATGAAAAGACAAATGTAAACCCGATATTTGTATGGGAATGAAGAGATGTATTCGTAACAATAAAGAATGTTTTTGTGTGAAATTCAATGCATCGTGGAAAATCACTTATCGAATCAATTTTACAAAATAAAACATATAATTAGTATATATTTTCATTTAAATGACTCAAAAAATTGCAATTGATGATCTAATTTCATGTTTGAATTTTATTTGCAGTGAATAGCGAGGCGAATGCCCGGCGAATAAATATGGTGGAGAGTTGTTTCGGCAGCTCGGGACATGTAAGTTGTTGCCATTTCGAATTGAAACAAAAGATATGTTTGATAAGTGTGTTTGACATTGAAAATTGTTTTTCTTTGCTTTGAATTGCAGCCACTGAAAGTTGTTGGACGTGTGTTGGTGGGTGAAGGTGTTCTCACGAAAATGTGCCGTAAACGGCCAAAAGCTAGACAATTTTTTCTATTTAACGATATTTTGGTGTACGGTAACATAGTGATCAGTAAGAAGAAATACAATAAACAGCATATTATACCATTGGAAGAGGTTCAGCTGCAAGGACTAGAGGATAATGGACGTGAGTGGTGTATTTTTGCTGTTGTTTCTTTTTTCGTCTCTCAAGTTCTTTGGATCACGTGTAACAAATTAAATGGTTTGCTTTTGTCATTTATTCAAAAATAGAATATCGAAATGGATGGCTTATCAGAACAGCAACAAAATCATTTGCCGTGTATGCAGCCACCAGTACAGAAAAGCAGGAATGGATGGCTCATATAAATAAGTGCATAGAAGATTTATTGAGAAAGAGTAAGAATCTTATTTGCCAATTATTTTACGAGTGATTTTTGATTGTATTTGTTGCGTTGATTGTAGGTGGTAAAAAACCGGTCGAACATCACGCTGCTGTTTGGGTGCCAGATAATGAGGCAAACGTGTGCATGCACTGCAAACGAACTCAATTCACAATGCTTGTTCGAAGGGTATGCTTTGTCCTTTGAATTATCCGATTGCAAATTTAACGTATTTCCTCTATTTTTCAATTGATTTAATAGCATCATTGTCGCTCATGTGGAGCTGTGGTATGCGGTCCATGCTCATCGAAAAAATTCTTGCTACCGCAACAGAGTACAAAGCCATTACGCGTTTGTTTAGACTGTTTTGATTCACTGAGCCAATCAAAGAACGAAGCGGTAAGTGTTAAATGCATTCAATTCGATTAAGTTTCAACGATATTCATATCAATTACGTTTTAAATAATTTAGACAAAAATTATCCCCAATGAAAAATCGAACAATAACACTGCAGCGGACAGTTCGGCTGAAGATGATTCGGATGACGAAGAAGAGCATAAAGAAGCTCACGACGAAGTAAGTGACATATTATTAAATATAAATCCCCCTTATTTAGATAAAAATGGCAATTTACACTATTACACATCTAAAAAAAAGATACATTCAAATACAGTTCATGCCACTGAGGAAGGCCCGTAAATTCTTCTCAAAACTTATTTGCGTCGAGATTAAGTTAAATGTTCTATTGTTTTTCAACAATTGTTGTTGTTCCCAATTCGTTTAGGATCTGATTAAAAATGCCAAATTTCCATTTATATTCGCAGACATTTCAATATCATTTTTCCGGCGAAACCACAATTTATTGATTCCAACAACGTTGTCAACTACCTCAAATGAATAACGCTTTTCCTCTCCAACTCATTTTGTTACTTGTTGTTTATGCAAATCTATCTGTATCACGTTATTCTGATTTTCAATGACGAAAAATGATCGGAAAAAAATAAATGTTTCTGTTTCATATTCTATATTACATGATAATTGTGAGTACGAGTGTGATACGATTGATTGCTACAATTTTAAACCATTAAAACTATTTCGATTTTATTGATTGAATTTTGACATTTGGATTGAAATCTTAACTTATTGCAAATAAATCCATTGAAACAATCTTTGAATCGATTTGATTGAATTAATCCATTTGCTCAAGTTAATTGGTTCACAATGTGTGATTTTCTCCGTTTTCAATTTTATTTTCCGAATTGGTTTCAATAACGTTTACTTTTCACTATGGATTTTGATCTAATAAGTAATAACTAATCGAAGCATGTGAATTTTGAATAAAAAATTACTTAATTTGTGTCTTTGCAAATTTAAACGTTTTTTTTGCGCCTCTGATTGAATTGAAACTTTCCCATATTTTGCTTTAACAACATTAAAATTCGTATATTTTTTGTACTTTCAGCCCAAATTCTATGGTGATGCTGATAAAAACTGATTAATCGCAAAAAAGGTGCCGGACCAGAAAAAGCGCTCGAAATTGGCAAAGCCAACATCAAATAGATGATCAACGTAAATTATCAACCCAAACGGTCGATCAATATGAAATAAAATAGTGTTTTTTTAGGAAGAGAAGCAAGCAAACAAATCACACCAATTATAGGTTATAAAGCAAAAAAAAGAGCGAAACCATACACATCATGTCTCTGACAATTTTCAAACAATTACAAGATCTGTTGAAATCGATTGTTTTAAGTATGAAAACGGAAAAAATTTGCTTGAATGATCAATCTAAGTGAATAAAAACGAAATTGGTGAAACATAAAAAAGACATATTTATCTGCCGGCAGAAGTTGAAATGAGCATATTTTCTCTTCTCTAAAATATACAGAAAATAGTGTTAAATGAAATTGCAATCATACAGCCTCCCCCTCCACTTACGAAATTTAGATCTATTTTAATCAAATCACCGAATTTTCACCGAAACTCTTATGAAACTCTTGAATCAGAAATCAGTCCAAGTTGTTGGTTTTTTGTTTTTCGTTTGCAAAATCTGCTACGACCTAAACAGAAGAAAAAAAATGACCAACAAATTCAAATTAGATTATTCTAATATACAACAAATAAAAAAAAACTCTATGACAGCCTTTATTTAACCGAGAAAAGAGAAGATGCAAAGCAAAAATCGTAGAAAAAAGATTTGTCATTGTACAGAATAAACATTGTATCATCATTTGACTATTTTATTATATTTTGATTTCGTTTTTTGTTTTAAATTCATATGTCCATTTTAAAATACCATAATCGTCGTTGTAAATTTTGTTAATTGGATTGAAAGTGTAAAACGGCCACGATGTAAAAGCAAATATAACATTGGAATAAATAGAAAAGTGGCATAACAATTTTTCACAACAACACCATATGATACGAAATCATATAATGTAATAAATATATATAAAAATGAAATTAAGCAGAGAATCGCTCGTCGAATTGTTATTGATTTCAATTACTTCAACTGCACATCGAATCCACATTTACACATACACATATTGAATACAAATCAGCCAATTTTAAAAAACGTTTTTATTTCCTTTTCGTTGGTTAATTGTTGTTATTAACATTTCGGAAAGAAAGAGAAGAGAAAGAAAAAACGACCGTGACCATCCATTGCCATCATAATGGCCATTTTCATTTTTTTTTTAAATTACTGTTCGATGCACCTCTCGAAACACGAAAATAAAAGAAAACGTATATTTGTTTGTAAACTGCTTTTGTTGCAATAAAAATGAGATCAGCTACACTGATTCAGTATTAAACGTGTGAAGGCAAATGGAAATGTAAAAATGAGAATAGCGTCGTTTTCAATAGAAGAATTAAAAAAAATACAGAATGCCAAAATTAATGGAGAAAATCAATGATTCGGTGCACACGAAAAAAATTATCGATTGCATATACGTCATTTTAAGATTCGTGGCCCATAAATTTAAAGAAGATGAAAAAAACACACACATTAACAACTCTTTTAAGCTATTAATTACAACAATGGAATATCATATTTCTTATACAACAACAACAACAACAACAAATAGAGTGTAATTAAAATATATTTGTGTTTTTAAGAAATAAAAACAAAAACAATATATATATAATGCATATTTTTATTTATATTAAACAATTTATAAAAAATTAAATTTCTATTTTTAAAACGAAAATAAAAAAAAATAAAATAAAAAAAAGATGCTGAATATCTATAATTGAAACAGAAATGTAAGATGAAGAAAATAACACCATACCACATATGCAAACAAAAATCAACACACATACACACATTTTATAATTGTAATTTTAATAAATTGTAATTATTAATGGGAGATTTAAGAATTTTAATAAAAATGCGATGAGAAAAAAACAACAACAAAATCATATAAAAGAGTATTTTTTTTTCTTCAGATGTATGTAATTTGCTGTTCTGAAACAGAAGAAATTCTTTGGAATTTAATCGAATTTCATTTTCTTTTTATTTTCAGTGAATCGGTTATTTGTGGTTCTGGCTAGACCGCATCCGGATTATTTCTTAATCAACATCATTCTCTTATTTCCATCTAATCCAAACAATCATTGGTTTGACAATACCATTAATATTTAAGCAAAAGTTGACACATAGCTCTATTGCTCTTGTGTCACTTTGTGTCTTTTGTGCGATGTCAATCATAATTAGAAACACGTATTTTTGACAATAAAATTTTCCCTCCATTATCTCTATGTAACTTGAGAGTTAAATGGACCAGACCAACTAGGCCTTCAACATATTTCCGGTGTATTTTCGAAATGCTGTTTTTTTATAGCACACCATAGACGTGTGGCCTTTTTATTTTTGTCCACATAATCAGGAAATCGGAGCATTTTCAATTGTAAACCATTTTAATTTTTCATGCAATGTTGGAATTGAATGAACATAAAACTATAAAGTGCCATTTCAAGCGTTTGTGCCATTAAAATAAAAATAAAAATATAAAAAAAAATTATGAACAACCTTCTAAAAAATTGATGCAAACTTTGGTTTTCTTTTAAATTAGAATAAATCCTATGCGTCAAATGTGCCGTTAATTTGTTCCTTTATTTTATATTCTCTTTTGTGATAAATCGATCCAACCAATCTGCTTTAATTTTATAAAAAAATCTCTCTCTCGTAACACAGCCAAGTGTTTGTGCAACAATTTTCTTTCTTCTTCTACTTTTGCCGTCATTCTAATTTCACACGATTGCATCAAGTAGGAGCAATACAAACGGATTCGTTGCACATACGACGCATCTGCATCATGAATAAATAGCAAAATTTTCTGATATCCTAATAGCAAAATCTCGCAGCGAAAGCAAAGTGAGAGAGGAAGAATTGAGAAATGGCACGCATACACACCCGAAATCCAAATACGCACATCCGAAATACATAAATATCATTTTACTTAGAAATTGTAGCTGAATCTGTCTGAATTTCTTTGCACACACATATGTTTACACATACGTCACTATTGAGTTAGGTAATGACGGTGGCATGCATGTCACACAGAGCAATGATTTCAGGTAAAGTAACAGGTGAACAGAAGCATCGAATACGTGTATGCATACATCGTTCGACGATAATATATTCGGCTTGATGCAAACAATGAAATAGCCTATTGAGACGTCTACACACATACGAATTACACTGTCGTCGGTGAGCTATTTTTGTGATACAACACTCTACCATATACTAATTTCAAATAGAAAAGTGAAGACTATGTGAGCTATATTTACTAGCTACACAATTGTAGATCGTTTGCTCTCTCTCCCAAACGTAAAACACATCTACACCGCAACAACATATACACACTTGCATGAACATAAAAAAAAACTACTCTATCGATCTAAGCCAATTCATATGAAAGTGATTCTGTTGTATTGTTTGGGCATCGTCTATACACATCTTGTATGTCTTTCTTCTTCTGTTTTATAGTAGGCACCTCTTCTAGTTTGTTGACCATTTGCATGAAATGTTGTAGTATTAATGAACTTTTAAATCAAAAAACCAAAATACCAGTCGCACAGAAATATCAGCACTCATAACATGCACGTCACAAAGTCTCTATCTCTTTTCATTCGTGGCATAGGTTTTATATACCATTGAAATGTGTGTATTGTGTATGTGCGGCTAGAAATCGGTGTGCGTATAATGGAGTTTGTGTTTTGTATTGTCTATTCTACTACTCTCATGCTATTTTACTACAAATAAAGTAGTGCATATTCATCGTTAAGCACACAACTGATGCAATTGATCTAATTCAGCACCAAAATTAATTAATTTTCTACCAATAAAATGGTTTTTGGAATGCATTAAGAAATAATTCTTCATAAATTAAAACGGCTGATAGAATAGTTTTAAGATGTTGTTATAGAATTTATTTACCCACAGAAATGAGATAAAAAAAACCAGATATGGAAAACCAAATGATATAAAGCCACTTTCGAACACGCAAGGTTTTTTTGTATAGTTTTTCTTTAAAAAAAACAACGAAAATATTTTGCTTGATTTTGCGTTGCGGCTTTTTGTTTAGGTGATAGAAAGGACCGACACGAGAATCAATATACAACACCAAAAAACCAACGACCAGCACATCAGAAGAGAAAAAAACAACGCATGTACTCGTGAAATACATTTTTTTTGCAATACAATATATGTATATACAAAAAAAAAAAACTCCAACTCTGTGTCCGAATGTGAACCGGTTTTCGAGTATAGCTTTCTTTGCTATGTTCGCTTGTAACCGTACAGCGGACACAATAAAACGAAACTGTTGTTGTTTTGGTCCCCTAGATCGTGAATCCTGTGTTTTTATGCGGCTTATGGTTTTAAAATACCAATAAATCACGATCATCCGAAATACAAAAGAGATTAAGAATTTTTCATGCGTTTTTGCTTATGCACGAACAAATCGCGCCAACATACAACAGCGAATCAAAACGATAATATATGGACCAACGACAATTGTACATACACAGTTCGGTACAAAACACCATACCAGACAAAGGGCACATAGCACGGATGGCATGGACACAATTTACAAACGGCACCGACAACATCGGCAACAACTGAAACGCGTTTATTTTTTTTTTTTTATTATTTGCATTCGAATAAAAAAAAAAAAGATGTTAATTTTCATATACAAAAAATCTTGTCAATGTTTAAATGATTCAGGTGTTTGCAATGCACGAAATTCAGATGCAATAAAATGTGTGAGACATGAAGACATCGTGTGACAAAATAACCTGTTTTTTTATTGTCTTGATGCTCTGCTGGCTCCTTAGATTTTATCAACTAGGAATTTATAATTTTCCCCAAAAAATTTATCGTCTTTTGATCATCACCCGTTTTCGAATATCATCAAGTTACAATACCAAAACTTTAACCGGTTACTTTCGATTACGTGAATACTCGTGTATGTCTCTGTGTGTGTTTATGTATGCGTGGTGGTTATTCACATACAGACGCATTCGGATAGCAAATTCAATATGAACAACAAAAAAAAAATAGTAAATCGTTGTGTGTCTCAGAGCAATTTCATACAAATCAAATCCATAGCCGCTTGATTCAAAAGTTTATTGCTGAAACACAAAAATGTATTGCTGAAAATTGTGCACAGAGAAAGAAAGAATGAAAGAGCATTTGACTGCGCTATGCTTGAACTGGTATTTGAAGCAAACGAAAATCTTACACACAATCAGAAGCAAAGTCAGACGGGAAAAGAACAAATAAAATAAAGAAGAAAAGGAATAGCAGCGAACGCGCGAGAGCAACAGGAGTAAAATTCGCAACAACAACAACAGTAACAACACAATAATCGTGGAGGCAAGCAAAAACATGCGAACAAAACAGCAGCCACTTCAGCAACAAATCAGTATGAAACTGATAACCGAATGGTTATGGTTAAAAAAGTGAAGCGCGCACTGTACGATCTGCAATAATCTCGTATATCGAACACACTTTTTCTTTCGATCGTCAAATTTTGTCAATGACATCACACGTAGGCAACGATTTTTTTTAAAAGCAAAAGTGCTGCATTTGCTACGACCGCGAAATTAATTTTCTCTTTTAATTCGTTGAACATTCGTATAAAATTTACAAAAAAAAAAAAACAAGAGTGCATAAACAATATCATTTTTCGTACTCACAAAATCGCCAATTTATGTTTAGTGGTGAATCTCTGAAGTAGTCGATGCATAAAAAGAATTGATCGATTTAAAGTTAATGTGTAATTTAGTGTTTTATTTATTTATATCGATAGTGGGTGACATGATCGAAAAACGATCGATTTGATTCCAGACCATTTTTTTTTTCATTTCAAACGCGGTTTGGTTCAATTACCGAACTTATTTTTCCGTACAATTGGTAAATACCTATGGATTAAACATACTATTTTGGTCGAAAGTTTGTTTGGCTTGTATTTATTATTCGCTTTATTCCATCTGTCGTGGGGTAACTTACCCATACTTTTTTTCATGTTTTAATGCTATTTTCATGTGTATGAACTCTCTTTTAGTAAATAAACTCTATCCTTCTCTATTTCAAGTGTTTTTTGTTTCACTTCCAAATATTGTAAATAACCGTAGACATCACATTTTGGGTATGAGATCAACAATTCACCAAACCAAGTTGTTTCTAATCGAAAATAATCATCACGGAATCAAGACAGATACGTAGCAAAGCATTTGTATGCTACAATTTTGACTATGTCTTTTTATGCCATTCAAATCGTTTTGTTTTCGTCGTCGTTGTCGTCGTCGTCGTGATTTATTCTAGGCAAATGCACACGCATATTATAAACGTCTCCAGACACATGTGATGAAGAGAGAGAGCGAGAGGCAATCAGTCTGAAAAAGAAGTAATGATCATTGTCGTCGCCGCCAGCGTCGTAGTATTTAACATATTTTTCGCTCCCAAGTATTTGTCATTGGTTCTATAGGATTCGCGTACATATAATAGATTCGCTTATTGCTTGATTGACCGACGACTCTCTCTCTCCCGCTCTCTATCGTGAGATCTATAAGCCAATCACAATAATCGAGTTGACATTTACACATTTTATATATCATAGATGAAATTATGGTGATATTTCATATTCAATCACTTTGAGAGATAAACTTGATTTAACTTCCTTGACGGTCATGTAGATATGCTGGTTTTGTGATAAAAATTTATGTTGAGTTATAGACGTCAACGAATTATGACGTTACAACGAATTTGAAAGATCAAATGGCTCTCCGAGAGAAAAATAATATGTTGATCTTTTTTATCTCTTCTCCATTAATTGTACGGAGCAACGTAGATATTTTGTTTGGTTTGTTCCTGTTTTCATTTTATCGTTATTCATTATCGGTTGGATTGTCGTTGCCACGTTGTTTTAACATTTTTTCCAATTCTCATTATCAAATAGTTTTGGCCATTTTTGGTTTACAAAATTTTAATTTGCTCAAATTATGCATTTTGTTATTCGCGGGCAAATTCATTTCTCGTCCAGAAGAAAAAAAAGAGACAACTTTTTAAGGTGTGCTAATTTATTAAAAAATCACACTTAAAATATTTATATTTAAGTTGCTAAACTCGTTATACTTCCACCCAGTATCTTGTTGTCAGCATCATAAGCTATACCGTAAATGCTGCTAACTTGATTGAAAAAAGTAGACAGAAATAAAAAAAAACACGAAATTCCTATGTCAAAATTGATTACATTGTAACATTTCAATCAATAACGTCAAATGTTATTCATCTTGGCGTTAGTTTAATTGATAAAATTGTAAAAGTATGCGCTGATCTTGGCGCTGATAGATTAAAAAAAAAGAAAACAAAATACGTAAGTTGCCACAATGACTTATCTCCTGTTCAAAATAAAAATTGACGATCTGTATGCATTGAAACGATAATTTTAATTTCATTTATAAACGGACCTTCAATTCCTTAGGCACAAAATTCCATTTAAAAAAAAAAATGCAAATTACTCGGCTCAAAATAAACTTATTCGCACAACAAACAAATTGAATTTCGCCGAATTACAAATATTAAATATGATAAGAACAATGAATGATTTACATTGCAAAAAGGCAACGAATAAAACAAATATCAAAGCTTCAAAATCGCTATTTTAATTGCATATTTACAAAAAGAATGCTCATAATTTGAAAGGCGAAACGATTTTATACACAGACCCAATCACCCCTGATCATGCTCATTTTTGTTTATTTTTATATCGCTTCGCTCGCTTCGATCGTTATATCTAAATTAACATGATGCAGCTCTTGATAATTAGCTGCAAAATGAAATAAAAGAGCGTGCGAAAAACAATGCAAAGAACGACAGCAAACGGATTTAATGGCCATCATCGTTGCTGCCGCCACATATTTTCTATTCTGAAATAAGTTAAGCTGGTTACTTTAATATTTGCACAATTGCGCACGAATGTTCACGTACAAAAAAAAAAAAACATTAAAATAACCAAATCAAGTAAATAGAAGATAACATTCAATACTCTCATTGAACTCAATACAATAGGTGAGAATGAATGTGCATGCCGTTTTTTTTCTCTCACCACAAAAAATATTAATGTAAAACATTATTCACCTGCATGCATAAATGGTGGTGATAATAACGTAACAACAATTCAATTTCAACCAAAGTTGTATGAATTATACAATACAACAAAAAAATATATATATATTTGTGTAAAGACACATCAATGCCTGCACATGATCAATAAATTATTGTTGTGAATGAAAGCGAAAAAGAGAGCATGCGGACGATTGCGCGTATACACACGAGGAAGATAGGGCAAATGCGAGAGAAACAACTATTGGAAACGGTTTCATTGATATAAGTTATAAATTCTATGAATTTCGCCGTTTAGCTCGTGCATTTGCATAATTACAAATTAAAATTTTATGGCATTTACGACGATTGTGAGAGTATTGTTCTTTCCTTTTTTTATATTATTGTTGTTTGCTCCGAACGCTTTCATCGACTTTTTTTTCTAAATAAATGCATCTCGGTGAAAAAAAAGTCAAACCCACACACCCACGCAAATATGAAGAAAACCCCATTGATCATCGTCATTATTTTTCTCTGACGACATCAAATGTTAAACTTTACTTGATTTACCTCGACACTATTTTCGAATTTTTATTTTCTTCCAAGCAGTGTTTTGTTCTTGATACGTGCACACACATAAACACAAATTCAATAAGAGTTTAACTTTACCAAAAATGTGAAATGATGCACACTGAAAATGTCTGTCGATTTATCATCATTTGATTTGTATGTGTTGGCTTCGATCACCATTTGCGTCAATTGCGAGAAGGTTTTGAGACGCTATGAAGGTGATTGATTTTTAATTTTGTTTATTGAATTCAAGTTTTTCTCTCCATATAATTTCGTGATGTTATTTATTTGGTTCTGAAAGAAAAAAAACGTTACCAATTTACAAATTCCATGATTTGAGTTTTTGTCATGCAAATAATATAATTATTATTATTAATTTATTGGACATTTTAGCCAGAGACCCATCACGAAAAAACTGGATTTTTTTTATATACAAAAGGCCGGGTCTTTAAGGCACACACCAGCCCGTTTGACATTGTTTGTATATATAGCGTGCTTGAGCACACTTATAATAGCATCTTGTATGTTTCTTTAATTGGATGTGTCTTTGTCATCGATTCGTCATCGAGGTAGCATGATACAACTAAAACAGCAAATTGAAATTGCAACAAATGTGAATGTAATAAAATAAATGTTATGATTTTGATCATCATTAAACTCGAATAAGACTGAATGTTTTGGCCGGGTCAGACAAATTACATCTGTAGACTGTGGAAACAAATGATTGAAATCAGACAATGTATTTGGATAATGTCATGTGGTTATTTCAGCTCATCTGTGTGATGTTAGGCGTTGGAATGGAGCGACTGACGTTATCCAGACAAGCTGAAATATCCAGGTGGCAAATTCCAAATATATTGTCTGCTCAATCCATTTCATGATTTAAAAAAAAAACAGACATGAATTCGAATCACACGAAAATTCCACACTTTTGTCATCACCGGTTGTAAATATCCGGGTATTTGAACTGTGTACACATTCTTTCTAAAAAGATAATTTCAATGTGTGTACCGTAAAAACCATATTTCGTTTTAGAGATAATATTAAATTCCAAAATTCCGAATTAGATTTGATCAATTTAACCTAAACGATTTTGGACGTTTGAAATTAGTTGTTTGTTGGTTAAATATCAAACATGGAGCTGACCACATGTTCATGACCAATCTAACGCAATGCGGTTGAATATATTTATATCGATCACAATCATAAAACATTTCATGGGTCGAACTGGTAAATTTGCATCACCAACGAAAATAGATGCATTCCTTATTTTGGTATTTGTGTTACAGTAAAAAAAAAAATTGCGATTCGTTTGCATGCAATCATTTAAAACCGGAATTGAATGAAAATGATTTTTTTTTTAATTTAACTAAATACCTCATTACCACACAGTCAGGCCACGAATGTATCAGAAATGTGTTATTTTATTTGTGGATGAGAATATTTTTCGACATTCAAACAAAATAAAAATTGACCTTGGATACAAAAAGCAACACCATTTTTCTTGCTCGATCGAAACAAAGGAAAGAAGTACACAATAAAACAAATTTTTATTGGTGAAGAGAGAGAGAGAGAGAGAGAGAGAGAGAGAGGGTAACGAATAACGCTTATTGACTAGATTATTTTGCATTTGCATGCAAATCTAATGTTGTTTATTAATAGAACATCGTGCTTTCGCCAATTCACTCTTTCGATGCGAAATGAATTAACTCACAGCATCGAAGCAGCAGATAGATAAGTAAATTTAATTTGATTTTGGCGTCAATATTCTGTCCAAATGCAAGAGCGTATCAACATGAAACGCATAAAAAAATTACCATATGATTCAAAGTCGAAATGTGGAGGAACTATGGATAGGTCACTGCAATAATTATATTCTAAATAAACAGTGTCATCTCTTTTCATCACGTTCTCTTACTTAAGCTATCGAACTTGTTTTCGAAATGTGTGCGAAGAACATAAAATCATTCGAATAGAATTCATTTTATTGCCAGTCACAGATACATTTTCAATAGACGTGAACAAAATGAAATGAGACAAACTTGTTCCATTGCTCGAAATTAATAAGATTCAACCACTTTTTTTTCTTCTCTTTTGCTTGATTTTAACATACAGTTATTTGCATCGAATCGGTATGTGACACTGTAAAATCTACACATTTCGTTGATAGTATTGTAACATTGAGCTTGACGGAGCTTGAGTTTATAAAAACTTGTTTTGTCATTTAAATAATGGCCAGAAGATCTGAAAAAATGGTCAGTATCAATATGGTATATCAAACGTAATATACCAATCGATTAATATGACAAACAACTTTAGGATTCAGATAGCTCTAATAAATCGTCGAACATACAAAATCTCTTATATGTGACATATTTAACCCGTCTCTAACCAAAATGGAAAATATGCGTTCTGCCAATTTGCTGACCATTTTTTAAAAATATTTTTAACGCTTAAGAATTTTCTTAAAAGAAAAACAGGCGACCATTTGGTTAAAGACGGATAAAAGGGCGTATATAATGCGAATAATTAGAAGTTCAAGTATTTCGATGAGAAAAGAAAAATTGAACGGCGGTACGATATGGGTTAAATTTCAAAAAATTAAACTCTGTCTCCTTCAAAACCAAATTCTTCTTATAAATCTTAAGAGCAAAATTGGCTATTCAATCATATTTAGATTGATTGCACATCATTTGGAAGAATGAATATGATTTGTGAATTTCTGCTCTCTGATCATACATACTTCTGCTCAACACCTATGTTGTTTTTCTAACACAATCCCTGCGTACTCGCATTAATTATTTTAGCATAAGCATACGCATGGTTCCAACTGAACTCTATCACATAATATCATTCAGTGTGGTTGTTTTTTTATCTCGTATTCATGGTTTATAATTAACATGAGATTGTGTATTTTAAAAGTAAGTTATGGTCATCATTTGCTTATTCGGTGTCATTTGAATTGGCGGGACGTACAAAAAAAATCGTCAATTTCAATTTGATTAAGTTTGTTATTCATCTTCTCAATGTAACTGCAAAATCCGGATTGAATCACATATAAAATTCTTTGGAGTTCCCGTACTCACTCATTCACTTGTCATCTTTTGGTGTGCATCCCATCATGTGTTTGTGTACATGTCTCTCTTTTTCTCTGTGAACAAATCAATTCCAATGAGATTAACATTAATTATAATTAAGAGTTAGTCGGCAAGCACGGAAATTGATTGTTGTCGTGTTTCCCATGTTCGGCACACGTACACACTGTCAATTTTACAATTCTCAAATCAATTGATCGTCATCCGAACTGGTTTGTGCATGCCATTGTAAAAGTACATTGTGTGTAATTTATGTTTTATTGCTATACTGTAATTAACAAATCGCCGCGCACACTCACTTACATGAGAGGTCTTCTTATAAACGATGGAGCAGAGATAGAGAAGATAGAGAAGAACAGAGGAAAAAATATAGAAACGACTACTCTGCTCCAACTGCCTATTATCCATTTATTTTCTGTGTATGTCATTTCAAAAAAATAATGTATATCCAATTAAAAAAAACACACACGAAATTATTCGAATCGTTCCAACAATTAGCACAAAGAAGATCTATAATCGAATTGTTTTTCCAAATTCACAAATTATCACGTTCGTACTAAAAATAAAAAAACAAAACATACCATTTCATTGCTGTCGGCAATTATATGAATTTTTAAGTTGATTTTCGTGCTATTTTAGATCAAATACGAACATAAACACAACCAAATAACGTTCACTAACTGGATCCGGAGACATAGCGCATAACCAAGCCGTTTTCTTAACGTGATTCATACGTTGAAATAATTGAGAAAAAACCCTGAAATTGAGTCATATTACACACTGAATGATGATGTTTTTGACATTTTATTAACTGAATGCGTTGCATGCTGTTGAACTCTCATATGGCAATCATCGATTAACTACGGTATCGATCACAAACGAATAGTCAACTATACTACTATAGAGAGAGGGTTGGAGAACGAAACAACAACTGACGCTCCTACTTTTTTTTATCCATTTCTGCATTTTTCTTCTTCAACTTATACTTTCCCGTCAACTGAACTTCTTGCTTTGGCTTTTCTTTCCTTTTTCTCTCGAATTACGAAAACGTTGTTGCAAAAGCTCATCAAAATGTCGTTAAAAAACTACATATTCTCTAGTATTAACACTAAGGGTGGACAAGATAGTGATAAATTTGCAACGATCCGAATAAAATCGCTACAACGCAAAAATATGGCAATTAAAGAGAGTGAAAATGGGGGTGCCACACAAAGTCGAACCGAACCAAATACAACTGCACAGCCAACATCCACTAAAACAGCCACCACCAACGAAACCACTGAAACACCTCCAACCAATCAAGAGGAGAAATTCCAATGTTCTTGGTTCTTTTCCGGAAAGGGTCTACTAAAGATTTGTTCATTAATAACAGTTGAACCAATAATGGTGTTCTGGTTGCTGCCGTCATGTTTCCTCTACATAGCTACTGAAAATTTAGCTTTAGAAAAGGTATTTATTTATTTCAAATAGTAAAATATTGTATTATTTTCTCCATCGATTAGATTCATGCATATAATATATCAGTTTTTGACATTTGATTCGTCCACGATCAAAGACATTTCGCACTAGATTTGATCACAATCTTTTTAACATCTTCTCATTTCAGTCGTGCCGTGTTAATTTCAACTATAGTGATGTTGTCTGCGATAATATGATCGATAAATCAATCAATAATATCAACTGTGTTAGTTTTCGTGAAAAGCAAAAAGAATCTGAATCAATTCATTTATACAGTGATTATTCTCAAGTGTTGAACGCTACAACATATAAAAATGGAACGTCGATTTTACCACCAGGCTCAAATGCAACCATTTATTTTGACATTACGGAGCTGGAGGAGCTGGTGTGTCAAGCCGAAATTGACAGTCAAAGATTGGACACGCAATTAAATTTATACACAGCACCGTTTGGTAAAATAAAACGATATATAATAACAATTGATCTGGAAATATGCACGAAACGACATGGATTAAATTGGATGTACGATATATAATTTACTTCTTTTATATTTTAGATTGGGTATTTGGTATAATAATGATTTTATTTGCCGGAGGATGGTCGGATAAACGGGGAAAACGTAAACCATGCATGTTGATTCCATTACTGGGTGAATTGGCTGCATTGATCGGTAAGACAGTGTAATTGTTTTTCATTCGAACCAAAAAGAAAGAAGAAACAAAAAATAGAAAGTACATTATTATTAAATTTCGATCGAAAAATCGTTGCATTTTGAAAATAGTATACTTGATTGCTGCTGTGTTCTTCAAGCAATTGCCATTAGAATTCAGTGCAATTCTGGGCAAGCTATTGCCGGCTATAACTGGTGGAGCGAATCTAATGCTGATGGGTGTATATAGTTACCTTAGTGAAACAACCACCGAAGAAGATCGAACAATGCGATTTGGTATTTTTGCTCAAATCGTTCCATTGATTCCGATCGCATCGCTTCCATGGTCTGGAATTCTTTTCCAAAAACTTGGATATGTTCGTGAGTATAATTTCACATAAAAAGTGTCAAAGACTTTCATTTCTAATTTTGAAGTTTTTTTTAATTTTTTTTATTCTCATTCAAATAGCGTTGCTGTTAATTTGCATTCCAATCAATTTGATTGGCGTATTTTACATTTTGTTCGTGTTAAAAGAGGTGAAACGCGTGAAAAAAGATGAAATCGAAATGACATCAAATGGTGTTGAAAATCCAGCATTTGATAATAATGCTGAACATAATATGCATACACGTGACACACAAAATGGACATCGTGAAGTATTGGCCGTTACCGAACCGGAAGTGGATACACCAAAGCCAAATTGTTTGCTTGATTTCTTCAATCCAGTTGTGGCTGTTGAATGTGTAAAAGTTCTAATGCGACAACGTAAAAATCAAGGTCGAGCCATTTTGATTTTTATGTTTGTTATGTATTTTGTTGCAATCGGACCTGCATTTGGTGAAGAGCCAAATGAATATAATTTCACTCGTATTGCATTAAATTGGGATGGAATTATTTATAGTGCATACGCAACGTATGGAAATGCTACATCGTTAATTGGAACAATCGTAATGGTTGTTATTTTAAGTAAATTGTGTAAATTTTCGGATCCAATATTGGGTGTCGTCGGCACATCATTTTCTTGTATCTCACGAATTTGCTATGTAAGACATCCGCATTGTTAAAATTGAATTTATATTTGAAGCAATGCAAACAAACAATAAAATCACACTTTTCGAAACTTTCAGACACTTGCCCGTGATACAACCATGTTGTATATTGCTCGTACGGCTGATGCATTCATTAGTATTCGGGCCTTAGTACTCAAAAGTATCTTGTCAAAACTTGTGGACACCGACGAATTGGGACGCTCATTTTCAATTATTGCCATTATCGAAGTCTGTGGCAAATTTGTCTTCGTGTCATTATACAGTATTGTTTATGAAAACACATTGGACTCATGGCCAGCCGCATTTTATTTCTTCAGTTTCATTTTCCTCGTAGTGACTGCTTTATTTTTTGTGTATGTATAGACAATTTTCATTTTTATATTACGATCAGTCATCGATTTCTTTTTATTTCTCGTCCACAGTTTATTGTACATCATAATGAAACGCCGAAAATGTCAAGATGAAACAGAAAAAGCAGAAGTAGTAGCATCGAAACAATCAGATCTCGGCGAAACAACACATATGTAAAACAATCGATTGATGAGTGTTTGTTTGTTTGTTTTTTTTTTTAAATGCCAGTTTCATTTTATTGCTATATATACCGCTCTATACTTTCTTCATTTGAATGAAGAAATATTTGGCATTATCCACATATTCTTCGTGTTTATTTGTAAATGTTAATATAAATTAATTAATTAATTAGCGACGATTTTAAAAACAAATTTTATGTTTTTTTTTTCTTTACAATCAAATATATCAAATAAATAAATGATATTACTATACAATTTATAAACATTATTTTCATTTTAAATGTTAAGCCGACCAATCTGGATTCGGATTGAAAAAATAATTCCCAATTAGAATTCTTGATGAAAAAAAAAAATTGTTTTAAAATTGACTTCTGATTTTTGCACTGTGCATTTCCGACTATGAAGATACTTAGGGAGACCCCAGGATGAACTTTTTGCATGCATATACTTTACGGCACCGATTTCCATCTTTCTATTTGCAGTATTCTCCGAGGAAAACTTTCAACTTTCATATGGTCACCAATCCATATACTTTGACCTTCAGAAACGGGCGACCTTCGAAAACTTCTGGAAATGCTCCATTTGAAAGCAAAAGATAGCCTTAGCCTCAATTACTATTCAAATTCAATATCATGGATGAATTGGCGGTAAACAAAATTCAAGATCAAACACATTTATTTGGCTCATTCCACTACTGAAATGAAGAAAAAACGATTTTTCATTTTCAAATGTATTCGAAAAAAAAACTTTTTCAACCGAATACAATGTGCTAGACATTTCTAGAAATTGCTTTCCATTCCTAACAATAGTGTTTAAAAACATATGATTAAAATAATGTGACATAAGACTGAATCTATTTTTATGTGCATCAATAAATTGAACAAGTATTTTTTTTTTGTCATTTTGATTTATGGACAGTTGTTGTCGCGACTTCTGTAGGGTACGTACGTTTTCATCAAAATATTTATTATTTTGACATCTTGCGTTGTATTTTCATTATTATGAGTCCCAACATAAGGAACACGAAAATGAATGTCATCAATCAGCATATTGTAAACAAATCAATTCAATCTCACGACTCGATTCTCATTCTTATATATGTGTGTGTAAGCGAGCGCCGTGCCTTTAATACATCAAACAAAACGCATTGTTTTCTATACAGTATCGATTAGTGTTCGGTCTCTGAAAGGTAATTGTTGACACATTCGGAGGGGATGGTGCCATCAATACATTTGCATTCAAAATAAGCTGTGTGTAATGTAATTCACTCAATCCAATTTTTATGTGATTGATATGAATAATCCAAAACCATATTTTCAATGCCCCGAAATTATTACGCGATACCGAACACATTATGAACATTGCCGTCTGAATTATACGTTATGTCGTTAGAAGAAGTCATTAATAGTATAAATTTTTTATGGTCAAGTTCTTTTAATGTAACGGTAGCATTTAGTTTCTTAATGATGACATTGCTTCACAAATTGTTTTCATTCTGAATTTTTCTCGTCGCATGGTTTTTCAGTTTTTTTTTTTTTTTGTAAAATGCACATATGATGTCGAATCATATGAAGCATGGATTATTTTGGCATGATGGCATCCATCCAATGAAGTAATTAATGTCTTTATGTAATTTGGCTAAAATCCAATTCATTTGAATCTAATATTCTATATATATTTGAATTTCCGTTGAGACACGGACACACTTCGGAAATCCAACAACATCTCATAATACAGTGTGTAATTTGGATATGACAGAATAACATTGTATGTCATTCAAATCGAATTATAAGCTTAATGGTAATTTGCAAGTGATGCTTGCTACGCATTCAATGTAATCCAGTTTTGATTATTGTTTGTCAATTGTTAATTTAGAATAAATATTTTTTCGAACAAAAAAGGTAATAAGGTAACGAACAAAAATGAAGGCAGTAGGAGGGTATGTATTTACTCAAACGATGTGCCATTTAAAATGCAATATGTATGCGGCCGGCGGTTGTTTAATTTGAGTTTATGATTATTTCAATTGACACCTGCGACTACCGGTCATTTAATTGATGTCAATCACACATTGGGGGCACAACATTTAAAAAACATTTTATGTGGACAAACAAAGAGACAATTACAATTACAAAATGGTATTCGTCGCTGTATGGGAGTCTAGGTTAAGGTCATGCATTTCTTAAACTTTTTTATTAAAAAGTCATTTTGATGTTGCTATGCATATCAACCCTACAATTGAAATAGATGGAATGCGTGCTCCGAAAACAGGTACGTAACATACGGAATTTAACAAAAAAAAAAACACAATTACAAAAGCAAAGTTCTCAAGAATAATGCAATTTCCATTCTCAAACGACTTTCCACGTATTATACATGGAACACTCCATACTAAATAGAATTGAACACAGTTGAATCGTTCTATGCATGAATAAGGACTTTGTCGAATGTGATATGATTTTAGCGTTGCAGATACGTCTTGATATACATCACGTAAACGAGCGTTACTCTCTGGAAAAAAAATCAATTTAAAGAGCCAATAAAATATCTTTCCTTCCATTAAACTTGATAACTAAATTTTTCTCAACATTTCCTCGAATCATTGTAACTTCCCATAAACTGTTATAAAACTTGAAATTTTGCATCAAACACGGTGTTTTTTATTTAAAAAAAAATGTCATTTCTACGGTACAAACAAATTTGTGTAACCCACATGCCATGCATAATACATTGATTTATAATTCTGAATTTGGCTAGTGTTTGAAATTCCACAAAGTGTTTATCTACAAAATTTTATATGCAACTACTATAAACATATTTCATGCAATTTAACTGCTGTTTGATTGCAATTTTTTTATTTCCTATTGATTTCATCCATTTACATATATTTACCGATATTTACAAAGGCAAATACACGAATAATATTATTGTTGCGTGCATCAAATTTAAACCAATTTACATATGAAATTGTTTGATATATGAGTATGGGTCCGTTCATGTAAATATATTGACGTGATTATCGGTGATACATATGAGTCAAATCATTATCCATAGTTATCATGAAACGTCGTGTCAATTTTTTATGACTGATAAATGTCCATGTTCTGTTCATTTGGTTTACATTTTCTTTTGGTTTGCTGTAAGCTTTTAAATGACGCATTTTTAAACAAAACGAAAAACTACAATGTCCATTCTTTTCGATTTCGTTTAAATGCTTTCGATTATTGTTTTTGGTTTTAATCAGGATTGGGGAGCTTGTTAAGGGATAGCGACAAAATTTTTGTAAATAATCATTATTTCGTAAATAAGCATGCAATCTGAATTGTGCATGTTTGCAATCGAATAAATAAAACTTCCGACTATATTTCAACATCCAACAAATCATGCTATTGTCTGAATTAATAAACTTCTGAAATGAACAATGGCGCTTGTCAGTGCGACAAAATGCAAATGGCATGTCTGAATCGCAAATCTTTAAAACGAAGTGCATTGACTAATATTGACATTGCCCAAGGATTTTGGACACGATTCCATTCACTTTAATGCACATTTTCTACCCGAAGCAATTATCTATATAAATGTTTTTTTAAAGGGATATCTGCCATTGAAAATTGTTTCGCAAAATATGTCAATTTTTCGGTGCAAACTGAATTTACAAGAAATTAATTGATTTTGTCGTCATAAGCGGAACGCTAAGAAATCGAAATAATGTCTCTGTTACAAATCATATATCATGTACAAATCTATTGAATATATCGAGAAGAGAGTATGTTATTCAGCGCTTATGGCTGAGTTATGTCTGAATAAAAACATACTCTCCTCTCGATATTTTCAATAGAAATGAAAGTGGACATATACATCCCTTGACCAACAACCAGCTCAAATAGGTCATAAAACATTTGATCCACTTATCTATTTATCAAGATGAATATTTGGTTCATACTAAAGAAAAACCGAACTGACAACGAATAACATCGTCGATTGAAAGAGTAATTTTTCATTTTGTTAACGATAACATACACACCATTCAGCCAAGGTGTAGCGATTAATGTGTCATCAAAATTTCTAATCGATATCCAATTGGTTGTCTAAATATCATTTATATATCAAATTGAATTACTTTAATTATTTTCATATTAATTCCCATAATACTTGCCATCCAAATCGAATCATATGCTTTAATGAAAGAATTCACATTTCATCAATCATCATTTTTGAATCATTTTGTCCAGCTCATTTCAAGTGTGTTCCAACAATAAAAAATGTGGTTGCAAATTGATTGGCGTTATTTTGTTTCCATCTTAAATGTGATTCGCAACACAAAATAAACAGAAAGCAAAAAATACAGATTGAACACGTGCGTTCCACGAACTACTTCACATTTGTTGATTATATATTATTATAATAAATCAGGTCAGATATGTATTGAATTTGACGAACTTTCATTTTCGTTTATGTTTATGATTAGGAACATCAGTCAGAATTCACTGGCAGGAGTAAAACCGATCATATTCGATAGATGATGATCCCCTTTTGACACGTGTGTCCATTCAAAATCTTAATAATAGGAGAACCTAATGCGTCACCTTCGAAACGCCCAACTATTTTCGATGTCAAAATATATAATTTTCTATTATTTTGTATTGAAGCGTACTTATGTCGGAAACTTGGAGTCAAAGACAATTTACCAAGATATATATATATATTTTGAATTCGTTATTTCCGAACCATTATGGTGTGATATCCAGAAAAAGATTCGCCATTAAAGAGGTTTTCGGAAATTTTGTATAGAATTCGTCTTTAAATGGAAAATGCAAAAAGTACAATAGTTCCTTATTAATTTGAAGTTCGTTATGTCTTAAGACAAAATAATTATTTTTCACCCACTCAACATTTTCGTAAATCTCTGTATCATACAGACTGTATGTATTTTGAAGAATTCTTTGAGTTATCGACATTATTTCGGTAAAATGAATCAAATTTTTAAGCTTCGTATGAAAAGTTTTCATAAAAAACTAAGATTTAGTACAAGAAATAGTTTTCATTGAAAATCGTTCGATGAAGAAAAAAGTTCTATTGAAATCAAAATATTTCATTGAAATTGAAACGTAGAAAAAATTATAATAAATTTGTTCAATTGAAGCAAAATTACGTATTTTATTGAATTTAAAAAGTTTGGAATTCGACATGATTGTCTCTTCCAAAAATTCATTTTATTGTACCCAAACAAGGCATACGTTTGTATGCGAAAATTAAAAAAATTTCATTCAAACGTGCACGGGAAAATTGGAATATATTCAATGAAAGCAATTTAACTTCTCGTTGGCAGAATAAGAGCCAAAGCAAAATAAAAGCATTGAAAAAAGCACATGAAGTGATGCTTTGTGAATTGTGATTTTAATATTGTGCAGATTGAGAACAAGTGATTTCATATTAATATCTCAAGTTCTCGAGAATTACCAACGACAACAAAAAAAAAAACGAGAAAATGTAGTCAAGAGCAATGTGTTTTCCATGCAATTCAATTTCATGCTCCGCATATGAACAGCCACAAATAAATATTTGTGACCGAAGACCCATATGCACAGTGTATGTGGGTGCACTTCAGTGTATTACCAGGGGAGTCAGAAAATATTTACACTCTATTATGAACATTAAATAATATTTACGATGACATCAGTTTATATAGAAATGTTACTCTATGTCACATGTTTCTCATGGCCTCATCCAATACATGCAAACATACATATATGTATGTTTGATGGCGCATTTTCAATAAATTTATTGTGGTTTACCTTGTAATTGAGTCTCGCAGCACCGACGTGTTCAAATTATGTATGGAGAAAAATAAAATATGGGGACTTTGGTTGATTAACGTCCCATCGCGCGCAAAAACCATCGATTGGAATGGGCAAAAGATAAACAACTAAAACTTAGCCAATAACCATACTATCTTTCACTCACACACACACACACACACACACATGTTCAAACCACGCATACACTCATTTACTTGGCTCAATAAAACGAATCCGTTTGCTCCTGGCACACATCATGGCTCTGTGCTAGTTATGATGATTTCTTTACCAACCGATGGCCAAACATTTTCGGTCAGTAGTTCATTCAAAGCGCTTACAATTTCAGCACGCAAACACAGGATACTCGGTAATCAATATCGAAATGTTCGTTTTAGTTGAATTTATTGCGCAAAATTTCAATGGATTTTGAAAGCGACAACTCATGCACCATTTGATCGATTTTCAAAAGATCTCAGGCCAATGGACAATTTCAACAAATACGAAAATAATAATCATTTTTTGTATCACACAAATTTTCATCATCAAACTATATTAGATGAATCATGCCTGGATTAAAAATAATATTTATTATGTTATATGTTATCACATATGGCAGTTGTGAATTTAGTGAACTTGTAAATATCGATGCGATCATTGATAGTGCAAAACAACTTCCAGAGTTCAACGTTCAAGTTTTAACAGGTAATTTGAATTTTTTTTCCCTTTGTGCTCATGTGATCGTGAAATTAATTCAAGTGTGTGAAAAATATTAATCACAAAATAAAATAAAAAATGAAAAATACAAAATCAAACTTTTGTCGATTTTTCTTATCGCAAAGAAACTACAGTACTAAAATGAAATGGTGTCATAACAGAAACCTTCATATTTAAACAAGAAAGTATATTTTTCATATAAAAGATGATCTGTTCATACGAACAAAAATAAGTAACAGCCTGTTCTCTATTCACACTGGCTGACTAAAAAAAAATTCAGTTGCAAAGAAACGCTATAAATGTGTAGTTTATTTATTTTTTTTTATAAAAAAACATATTTTGTCTTATTTCATTCAAATGTCCATTTAGATTTCTCAGAAATACTTTTCCTCAATTTTTTTTCGAAAATTATAAAATTTGTGTGGTTTGCGTGCGGAAAAATGTGAGAAAATGTCGGAAGAGAGTTGTTTCGTGTAGCACCTCAAAGAATAAATCTGATTTGTTATCTATACTCTCAACTAAAGTTGAAAATTTCAATTGACAGTTTAAAATGAAAACAAAACCAAGCTATGAAGTGATTAATTTTTTTAATTATAGATCAAGAAGAGTCAATTAAATTAAAAGAACAATGGAACGAACTCAAAGCCAATCTAAGTGGATCTGTTTTGAAAGTGGTCACTCTTGAAGTATGTAATTTTCTTGTCAAATATTTTCGAGATAACTTGCTAAAAAAATATGTGTGCTTTTTTCCCAGGATCCACCGCTAAGTTACACCGAAGTAGATAGTAGTGGAAAATTGGTGGGCAAAGGAGTAGCTTTCAAATTGTTTCAGTTTTTAATGGATAAATTCAATTTTACATATGAAATTGTGAAACACGATCGCAACATAATTGGATCTATTGAAGATTTAAATGGAAGTTTACTACATACATTATCCAAAAACGTGAGTGCTCTGCTTTATTTTTGGTGTTTTTTTTTGTGAAATTCTGAGCAAGCAAAATTAGTGATTTTTTAAAAAAAATAATTATTAATGTGCATCGATTGTTGGTAGGATGCGGAAGTTGCAGTGGCATTTCTACCAGTTCTATCGGATACACGTGATTTTGCAAAATATTCGAAGACAATATTAGACGAAGGCGAATGGATAATGTTAATGAGGCGTCCCGTAATGTCTGCAACAGGAACTGGATTACTCGCACCATTTACGCTACAAGTATGGATTTTGATTTTGGTATCGTTGCTTGTGGTCGGCCCGTTGATCTACTGTATTATCATTCTTCGGTACAAACTCACCGGTGATACAGAACAGCAAAAATATGCTCTACCACATTGTATGTGGTTTGTCTATGGTGCATTGCTAAAACAGGGATCGACACTGTCACCGATTGCTGGTATGATTAATTTTACCTTTTTTGTGGTTCTTAAATGGTGATTCAAGGAAATACATAAAATGATCATATTTTCTTTGAACAAAAATTAGATTCGACCCGATTAATATTCGCAACGTGGTGGATTTTCATCACAATTTTGACATCTTTCTATACGGCTAATCTGACTGCTTTTCTAACTCTATCAAAATTCACATTGCCCATTAATTCGTGGGACGATATTTATAAAACTCAAAAAGAATTTGTTTCCATAAAAGGCGGATGCGTTGAATATGCCATATTGAATGTAAATCATTTGATCCAAGTTTGTTTATAACGATAACATATAAATAAATATGAATTTATTTCTACTCAATAGTCAAATGAGTCGCTTACAGTGATGCGTACGATGTACGATGATCATCGGATAATATTCTCTGATAAATCGGACAATGACACCCTAAATGAATACGTGTTCCGTGATAATTATGTGCTGGTACGAGATCGTCCGGCGATAAATCATTTAATATATAATGACTATCAAGATAGAAAAGCAAAAAATCCTGCTGACGAGAAGAAGCAATGTCCATTTGCCACGGCAAAAGAGCCATTCATGAAGCGAAAACGTTCATTCGCCTACCAACTTAATACAGATTTAAATATCATTTTTGATGCCGAGTAAGTAAAAGTATTTTATTAGTAGACACAAAATCTCCACTTAACTGACAGAAAATCTCAAACCATTCTTCCGAAACAGAAAAAAATCTCGACACAAGGAGAATTTTTTTCCGGAGTTCTTTTTGCATAGATTTGAAATTTGGTCGAAATTTTTATATATATATCTGTTTTTTTTTATTGTCAGATTGTTGACTTTGGTCGAAACGGGCATTGTAAAATTTATGCTTGGCGAAAATCTAACAAATGCCGAAATTTGTCCGCAAAATCTCGGTGGCACCGAACGACAACTGCGAAACAGTGACCTGTCGATGACTTATTATATTATGTTAGCCGGTTTTTGTACAGCGGTTATGATTTTCTTAACGGAGGTAGAATATATTGCATGCTTTCTATTTATACCGAAAATGTCATGTGTCACGTTTTTCTCAATTTCAGATAATGTTCAAATTGATAAATCGCCGCCTGAATTATGACAATTTGAGGTTTCAACAATCGCCGCTCGATAAAAATGTTAGCAATGACCGAATTAAGAAGAAAATTCTGAATGTAACACCACCGCCATCCTATCAAACGTTATTTGATCGCAACAAAATTTTCACAACTGACGAACACGTTAAGACATTAAATGTGAACAGTGGTGTAAAACGTTCAATAAATGGGAGGGATTATATGGTCTTCCTGTCAAACGACGGTGAACCGAGACTCGTGCCACTCAGAACACCATCCGCCGCTCTGTTCCAATATGCCTACACAAAATAATACAATTAGATATGAGCGGAAAATTCAGTTTCCGTTGTAAAATCTTAACAGAGTTAACATACATAGTTCCACAGAAATTCATTTAGCACAAAAAAGGAAAACAAAAAACAATCTCTCTTAAATATGTAGATTATTTGTATCTTGTTAATGATAAACATGATGAAGATGTGATGCATTTTGTAATCATGTATTTTATTGTCGTGGACGCAGAAAAAGAGATGACCACGAGGGGAGCGGGGAACACTGAATTTTATTTATACGAATTTGGATAAATGTTCAATTTGATATGAGGCACATCATCAGTCACCCATACTGAATTAAGGAATTACGAATAAGAACTATTTAAAATAAGTACCTTTTTGAAAAGTGGGACATGAATATTTGTTATGGTTTTTTTTATAAAATTTTCGATAAAATTAGGAACGGAGGTCACAATCGAACACTTTTCGTTAGACAATTGAAATTTTTTTTTTGTTTCAATTTTCTCACAATATAATAATAAATTTTCCCGTGAAATTCCAGTCAAAATTCATGCAAAAACACTTTCTCTTTTTCTCTCTCTCTCCCTCTCTCTCATAAACAGCAAACAAAAAATACGAAATCCGACTATGTGAAATGTTCAATCTGTTCAAAGGTATATTCCAAATTTGTAACAAGGAGCAATCTATTAGGCACAAAACGATATTTTGGAACAGTTCGACAAAAATGTTATAAATACGAAGGTAATTTGAAGCGTTGGTTCCGAAAGCTGTCTACACGAGACACATGCTAGATACGAACTGAACGAGATACAAGAGAAAGGAAATATATACTCAAACAGGCCGGACAGAAAAAATTTATAATCGCGATGTAAAAGCTGCATGTTTGTAGGCCAACAAACACGCACAGATACGTATAAATACATTGCTGTTGCATATACAGTACACACATATCTACTTGATATGTGTGAAGCCAATTTAAAAAATAATAAATTAACCCTCTAGTGCGTTCATTTTTTTCCAATGTTAGGATTCTTAGTAAATGTTTAAGTGAAAATACTTAGAAAAGTATCTGAATTAGGATACGCCATAGGATACTACTAGGGGCTTTCTACTATTCGCGAATGGCAGTTTAGTCGCAAAATATAAACTTTCCCTATTCATGCGTGAAATATACCCGTGTACAAAAAAAGTGACTGACTATTTTGGGACAAACTGACTGACTATTGACTGTAAAAACAAGCAACCTTAGTTAAATTTAGTTAACTTCAATCAATTAAAGTAAGCTATGGTTAACTGCAACAGCTAACTATAGTTGACAATAATCATAGTCACCCGATAGTCGAAACGTCCCAAAATAATCGCCTGACTGACTGAGTAACTATAGTCGATTGTTTTCCATACAAAATTTAAAAATTCATGAATATAGCTAACTATAGTCACTTACAGTCAATAGTAACTTAGTCACTTTTTTTCCACTCGGGTACGAATTATAGAAATTAATTATTAAATAAATTGAAAATTATCATCTATGAAAATTCGTATATTTCATTCGAAGCCATTCGCGAATGCCGCATACTGTTTGCCAAATGCGACATATTGTTGTGATTTGTACATAAACATTCCTGTATTTAGTTTGTATGCGTGATCATTTGCTTCCATTCGCAAAATATGTATGAAACATTCGCTCGCAAATGCAACATTCGTATAAGTCGGAGCCCCTTAGGGATACTACCAAAATGCAGTCTAATGCACTAGAGGGTTAAGGTTAATTCCTTAGCTACATGTTTCCAGAAAAATGTTAATTGAAAATTTGATTTCAAAGAGAATACGAAATAATATGTTATAAAAAAAATCGAAAAATGTTCAATTGCAATCTTTGTTTAGTTTGTTAGAGAATCTCAACAATGTAATATGAAAAATGAAAGAAATATACAAAAATTGTCGTTTTTTTTTTCAAAAGAAAAAGAAGCAAACCATTTAATTTGAAAGCAAAAGTTAATCTCAAACATCAATCCAAATTAACGAGTTTAAAAATGTGAGTATTTTTAGTTTTAAATTGGTTTGAAAGATGCATGCTAATTGACGTGTTGACTTTTCGTATTGTGGCATATTGGTTTCGCTTGCTGTTTAACTGCCCAAATGCATCATGGCAACGACTGATTATCATTTTAAATCAAGAAACTGCTATTTAATTTGCATGTAAATTTATTTTTAGCATTTCGTTGCGAGAAAAAAAGAAAGTCAACACGCTGCATACATTTTATGTAGTTGAAATGTGTTCGTTAGAAAAAACTTCTGTAAGCGATTTAAATTCAACGGATAATGTGATATCTATCTAAAATTAAATCGAAATTGAATTCAAGTTAATTATGTGCAATTTGATGGATTTGCGTGTCGTTAAACTTGTTTTTCACCACACAACAAAAAGACATTGCGGCATTTAAACCGCATACGATAATTTTTGCTACGCATGCAGTAACGATACCGTTTATTTGCATGGTATGAATTCACGGTGTGCACATTGATCGCATTTGTTTGATGGACGGTGGAAGTGAGTGTTCATTGTTACGTCCATTTTGGTAATTTTCATCGGGAGTTGAAAAAATGGCAAATTTTCTGTATAAAAAGTGTGCACTTGACACAAATGAAAAGTTTGGCAGGTGAATGTTCGATCAGTATTTTATTTCATAATCGCATTGAATCTTCAAATCGAATTTTTTTTCTCGCCTTTTTTATGGTGGTGGCAAATGGCAAAAAAATAACACCAATCCAATAGATTTGTGATTGCAGCGCAGGATATAAAAGCCGGTGAACTGTTGTTGAGCGAGCTGCCAATTGTATGCGGACCGTATTGGGATACAAAAATCAATTGTTTAAATTGTTACGCGCCATCGGACACAATGTGCAAGTAAGATAAAAGATTGCAAATATATAGATAAAATAAATGGTATATATATTGTGATCAACGTTTCCCATATATTGAAAAGCCCAAATGAGCCATATTCTCAATGTGTTTTGTCTATTTTTCACTGTTAGAAAATGTAAAGTGGTTCCATTGTGTTGGAATTGCCATGATAACCATGATGCAGTTGAATGTGATACACTGGAAAAGCTCGATTTGCCCAAAACATATCTAATCGACAATTTCGATGTGGTGACACCGTTGCGTGTTTTATTATTATTCTATCGATATGCGATGTTGATGATGACCACGACCTCTAGTGCTACCTCAACCACCACTGCCACCACCAACGCCCCAACTATCGATACTGATCTAAAATATCAAATCGATGAAATACTGAGCATGGAATCCCATATGGAGCAACGACGTAATACATGGATTTGGAATGAGCACGCAAAAAATGTTTTACAACCGCTTCGCAGCATAAACATTGATGCCAAATTCCAGTCATTCAACGCACCATGGACATTGACTGATGATTTTCTACAGAAAATTTGCGGCATTCTCGATGTCAATACGTTTGAATTTCGAACGCAACACTTTGAGGTTTTGCTAGATGGAATGGATTTTACCGTGTTCATTCTTTTTTGCTGTGTTTGCTTGTCATTGACATATTATCATTGGGTACTTTATTCATTTAATTTTCTTCTCTTACACAATATTGAAGGAATTTCCGGTACGTGGTTTATTCACACAAGCAGCATTATTGGCACACGACTGCATTGGAAACACACTCATAACCGTTGACAACAATAAAGTATTGAAAGTTTTTGCCAGCGTTGATATCAAAGAGGGCGAAATTATTTACAACAATTATACCGCATCATTATATGTACGTATTTCATTTGAATAAATGTATGTACTAACAAAATACGCTCGATCGGATTCTTGAAATTTACGCTTTTTCCGGGCACACTCACGAAATATATATATTTTTTTACTAAATTTAGTTTACCATCACAGTGGTGAGTTCCATTTTACGTTATCGAAAAAATCGGTATTGTCATCGTGGCCAAAAACTGTACGATTTTAGTTAAATTTAAAAAAAATAGAAAATAAAAATTAAAAAGCGTGCATATTGTGAATATATTAAAATTGTTTGCAATTCGAAGCTGATAGTGTTTACTTTTTGAAAATGTTGTTTTCTTTTTCTCTATGTCGGTATCTTTTCTGTATTGGATCTGCCATTCTCATTCCGCACCACTTGCATATGCAAACAAAAAACACACACGCGCCGCGCACGGTCATGCATTGCCTAATGAATTGAAAGGGAACCGAAGCGCGACAAGAGCATTTAACGAAGGGCAAATATTTTGAATGTGAATGTCGCCGATGCAACGATCCAACCGAATTTGGTACCCATTTGAGCAGTGTCAAGTGTCAATCGTGTACAATGGGCTACATCATTCGCATGAATTGTAAAACCACATGGAAATGCTTAAATTGCAATACAAATGTGGCAAATGAAAAAATTCAATTGATTTTACGCGACATTCGGATAGAGGTTCAACAAATGCGACCAAACATTGAACACATCGATTTACTGATCGCCAAATATACGAAAATATTGCATCCCAACCACTATTTACTCATCGAGATGAAACAAAAATTGGCAGCAGTCATACGTCACATGAGCGCCTCAGCATATGATATTGCCATCAATGCATACACCAATGATAGCAAAATTTCACCTTTAGAAAATTTACTGCAACGCAAAATTGATTTGTGCAAGGAGTTCATTCCATTGCTTCAAATTCTAACACCGGGCATCTCACGCTTGAAAGCGATTGCATTGTATGAACAATTCGCACCACTTGTTCAACTCGCAAGACTCCATCATCAACATAAAATTATCACCGATGCCGAATATTTGGTGAATATTATCAGTTAACGTAATAATATACAAAAAGCAATAAAAATTCTGGCGTACAAACAGAAATACGCACCTGCACGTTTAATAATAATCCTATACCAAATTACAACACCCTACACTTCAAAATCAATTGCAATGACCTAGATATAGTCGATGCATTCTATCATTTTCATATCGTTCGTATATCTATTCTCTGTGGCATTTGTTTTATTCAATCATCATTTCGAAACTTTTTATTATTTTGTATTACCCCCGTAGAGACGCGTTCGAGTTGACACCATTGTTAAGATATCGTCAGCAAATTTAGCGTCTCTATATAGATTCGTATAGACGTGTCTATAGGAGGCTTAACAAAATCGATTGAAAAGATCATTTTTTCAAAATTCATTTAGATTTTATTCACTTCTGAAATTAATATCGTGTGACCTGCATCATAAACAATTATTTGTATTTAATAAATGTGTATAGATTAGGGTGCATCGATTTTTTTGTTTTAAAATACGTTTTTATGATGGGCCCATTTGAAAAATATCGAACTTCAAGTCAAACGGCGTGAAAATGGGAACGGTGTTGTCCAAAGTGTCAGAACAAAAGTTGTTACTCTGGACCAGGTCTACAAAAGCAGCACTAAGGATTTTTTCAAGTTTTCAAAACAAAAAAATCGATGCACCCTAGTATAAATATTGACATTTTTTATGTTTTTCAATAAATTATTTCCATTCGATATCATTTCCGAGCACAATGCATTCACTAAAAGCGCCTGCATTATGTTCAATTTAAAATTTAAATACATACAGATTTTCAGAGAACAAAAAAGCTCAAAATAATCATTTTTCGCTTATATTCATTAACAGCGTCAATTGTGTGAGGCCGAAATAATTGTAAAAGAGTCCATTGGAATGCTATTATATGAACCGTCATCAAATCCAGAGGGGATGCTTTGCAAACAAGCCATGTTTGAGCTTAAAGAATTACGATTGATGAAGCAGCGCGTTGAAAAGTCAATCAAAAAGGCATCACAGTCAACCAAAACGACCGCAAAAACAAATTTAAAATAACAACCATAAAATATAATCAGCCGGTGGTAAACAGTGTCGACGATATTTATAAAATATATTGAAGAAATTTGCAATGAATTGAACACCACAGTTGATTGTATCCTATGTTTAACGTCATTTATTTTATCTATTATTTACACCCTATAATATCGGATTCGCCCATTCATCTTTCTTGTTTCTTTTTTTATTTAGAGAATTTTGTGAATATGACCTTTATTTTACCTTTAGAAAAACCAAATAAAATATATTTATCACAAAATCCGTAGCTCATTTACATCTGACTCACCTCTTTTTTCACAGAGACCTTATCATCGAACCTGGAAAAACGCTTGAAATATTATAAAAGTTACAAAATGGGTCCAGAGCCCCCCGAAATTCCTGACGTTATCTATTAAGTTCATAATTAAGATATATTAAAACGCCCAACAGTCTTTTTTGTAATTGATTTGTTTAATTCATTTGATTTCTATAATTTACAGACTTTATTGGTCATACAGTTTATCTATATTTACATTCCGATTCCAAAATCTTTTAGCTAATTTTTTCGTTCTGCTGTTTTTTTTTCAATTCTTTCACAAGAAAAAGAAACAATAAACGAGATGTGTAAAATCATAAAATTTCCCCACCAATTCACTAAACATTAAATAATAATAAATCTTAATTAATTTCCTTTGTGTAAATTTAAAAATATATATATAAATGTTTAGCTTCTAAGTTCTAACTTCATTCACATTCAGTTCAGGTCTTTTTCACGTTCGTTTTTTTTTTTGTTCTTTTTAATACTGAGGCTGTGAGTAAGATCGTTTGTGTGATGTGTGTATGGAACGATTTTTTGACAAGCGATAGCGTCTTGGGTTTTCATCTGGAAAAACTAAATAGTTGTTTTTGATCTTGAATCTTTGAAAACACTTCATTGTAGGATAGGATATATCACAATGGTTGTTTGAAAATTGTACGAAGAATTCCTAGAGGAGCATCTCAGTTTTAAAAAAAATGTTTTCTTCTATCAAATATTGTAAATAGCAACCATTCAGTGGATATTTATGTACTATGTGGATGTGAACCACTACAAAATCAAATGTGAGTGATTCTTATGTGTACGGCAATGTATTTCTTAGTGTTGCTAGTATTATTGTCATTCTCCACTTTTTTTAGCCATTCACCATTATGCCAGTATGTCACTTATTCTCTTGCACGTTTTTGCGCGTTCAGCATTGTTGTGCATTTTAAAATGTATTTTATAAATTTCAATTGATTCATTGACTGAAAATTCGTGTTCGAATAACAGAAAATAGTCAAAATAGTAGCGGCTGCTAAGAATACATTTTATATAATTCGAAAAGTAACGGGCGCCCCTAGGAAGAGCCAATTTCTATTCCAAAAAAGTATTTATATTGTATAGAATGTTGCGCTGTGCGTTCTGGCATCACGATCACGTATACGCTTGAAGGGTATAGTGGAATTCATTTGAAAAAGTATTGAGATTTTATTCGTTAGAAAATGCCATAGAAAAGATTGTTTTTTGTTATTTGTTATTCATTGCTTAAATGGTGTAGAGTTATACTTAATTGTTTTTTTTTTTTGTGTGTGTGTGTGAGTGTGTATGATTCTTTGTATCCCTCTCCATCTTCCTAATAGTATAGAAATATCGCATAGTCGCTCGTCAGTACAAAGTACAGTAGAAATAGTAAAAATAAAAATAGAGTGTGTACCATTTTGATCTCATCGAGAGTACTTTGTATAGAGGGTAGTTCCAAATGGATTTTATTATTTTTTGCTTGTTGGTGTTGTCGTGTATGTTGAATATTTCATTTTCTGATGTTTATGTATATTTGTGTGTATTGAAAACATCCTCAATGTTTTTGTTTAGTTTCGGTTTTGGTGTGCCATTTAAATGCTGGAGCTAGTCGTATTTCCTCGTTTAGCAGCAATAAAAATAATAAAATTTGCCAAAAATGAAATTATTATATACTACTTTCCAAGGTGGGAATAAATTTTGCAACAGAAGACCGTTATCCAATTGATTTTTTTTTTTACTTTTTCAAAAGATGAATCAAAAATAAATGTTCGTTTTTGTCACTTTTTATAGATGAATGGAGAGACTGTTATCATGAAAGGAAAAAATGACGCATAATTTCTTGCAAAAGTTTTCATTGTAGACAAAATCACAATATCCATACAATGTCATGTGTTAATTGCGATGATTTTCTGTTTATTCTCCCCCTCCGCACTTATATATATACTCTTGATGGCATTTGCTTTATGATTTAATTTTATCAATATATTTTTTGATATATATGACACAAATATATTTCCACAAGTGAACAATTATGCACATAATACATGTTGATTTATAAGGCCATTCTACAGTATATAATTCATGAGTGTGTGTGTGTGTTTTTTTTGTTATTCGCCTTCTTTTGTTAGATTCACTCGTCGTTATTTGTTGCGTCAATTAACTAATAAATTATGCGAAACACTGCGAGAACGTTGCGCCATTATATTGAGATATTTTCAGCCAGATGAATCAGTTCAGAGGCAACTGACGTCAGGCGCTGAAATATAGCGACAATAATAGAAGTGATGGTTATAGTTATAAAAATACTTCCTGAGCTGATTCAACTGGCTGAAAATATCTCAATATAATGTATGTTTATGCCTCAAGTAAATATAAAGTAATTCTCATGCATGGTTGATTGGCTCAATTTAATAATAGACTGTGTGCGAATGAGATGCTCAATGCACAAATCTCTCTACAACTTATTACTCCGAATGAAAATCCCGGATAACAACAAATAATGGCCTATTCTCTCTTCTTGGCGTTCTACTTTGCACATCAGCTTCTAATTGCAATTGCGATTCAACTGGATTCAAGCCTTTTCTGGTTTTGTTTTCATGTCACAATCACTTTCTGCTTTTCGTGTTTTTTTTTCTCTACATTATTTCATTAAATCTATTTGCAATTATGACGAAGCCCGTCTTTTTTTCTTCATCCAGGAAAGAGAGTCGAACGCCCTGTTTAATATTTACATGTACTATTTTAATGGAAATTCTTTTGATTTTGCCTGCTTTTTATGCTTGTTAATTGTTTTGGTTTTTGTTTTATTCATTTTTCTCGGTTTCAATTTTTTCTATGTCTTAGGAATGGAAGATAATTCATCTATTCAACTAAAATTGTTCAGTGGAACATATAATCCTCTTTTGTTGTTGCGTTCGTATCGTATTCACGCACACATCGATTTTAATATGTTTATTGAAAATTAAGGCGATAACGAGATTTCCGTTCGATGTATAAATATAAAATAAAAGCGAATTCTATAACTTTGGACGTATATTATGTGTAGCGTATGAAACAAATAGCAAAACAAAATCCAAATTACATTCACTGAATGTAATCGTACGCTTATTTGGTGGACTTGTGAATTTATACACTCTAGAGAAAAAAAAAAAACGATTTTATCTATCTTTCATCAAATTTAATAATAGTCAACTGTATAACCATCAACTGCATAGATCTAAAACGTTTGTTTTAGTTGATATTTTTTTTTGGATTTAGATTAAGTTTAGCACATAGAAAATGACAAAAAAATCGTAAATTTTCAAAAATTTTCTACACACTGAATTTAAAACTAGAACCTAAAATGATGGTTCATTTTTTTTTTGAAAAAAAACGGCAAAAACGCCGCCTTTTCGGAATCTCATGCAGTCGAGGTCTATCATTATTTTCAAAAATGATTGATACTTAGTACATAGGCTAGGGCATATTTTCCTGTAACCCTCAACAAAACAGTGGGACGCTTTCACACTCCGCTCTGCACGTGCATTGCAATGATTTGGGTTGCATCCATAATTGTTCAAGTACTAAACTATCTCCGAACTTTTTTCCTCAAAAAAAAAAAAAAAAAAAAATGTCAATTTCGATATGGAAAAAAGTCGGTATGAATTTTGATTGGATAAAAAGAAGAAGCCAAAACTGCTTGCCGATTGTACACATATTGTTCACCATTTGTTACAGCAGCCAATTGTCGGAAATATGATTGATTATATAATATGATTATTGGCTAAGCGGAAATAGTTTGTGTGTGTGTGTGTGTGCGCGCGCGAGGCAAAAGCAGTATTCATTGGTTTATAAAGTATAGATAGTTTTTTTTTTGTTGGTTTTTGTTTAGTCGTTCATTGGGTTTTCAATATCTTGTTTTACGTTTTGCTACGTTGTTTTTACACAAGAAATATACATTGATTTTCTTCTGGTTTTTTGATTTGGTTCGAATTGAATTTTTTTCGGCCGAATGATAGTATATTTTATGTGTATGATGGTGCAATATGGTAGACAACAATAACACATCGAGTGCATACATTTTCTAAAAATGTGTGTATGTCATAAACAAATTGCTTACATAATATTGTTGAAGTCAGTGTTGTTCTTTTTGTTTTTTCACTATAGATTAAAAGTGGTTCGAAAAGTGTATGACTCAAAAATGTCGGGAACACTTTTCTAATGTTTATTTTGTTGAGTAAATGTTTCGTAAAAAAGATCGTCATAATCATATTTAAATTGCTTTTGGGTTTTGGTATAAAATTAAAGTCGAATGATGTGATTAGGAAAATTGATATGTGCCAATTTCGAAAAAAAAAATAATATTATTATTTGATAACACTCTACACACCGATTGCCTGAAGGATTGATGGCAGAACAAAATAATTTATTTCAATGGACTGAATTGAATTTTGAATTAGAACAATACGATATGGTTTGGTTTGACTTATATCTCTACTTGAAATGTTTTGTCCGTTGCGGATCAAAAAAAGATGTGTTCAAACATCTCACACTGAAAGCGATTGAAAACAAAAGAGTTATTGTACAGTACACTCTCTATATTATAATGTTTCAAATTGTTGCTTTTGGTCGTTTAATACGTTTATTTATTCGCCATGTTTTTTGTTGTTGTTGATTTTTTGGTTAGATGTGATAGGAATTGAAAGAGTTTTTTTTACATTTATATTATGATATGTTTATTACGTTTACATCAATTGCCGGTGCAGAATTTTGCGATAGGTCGATTTGAATGATAGTAGTGATTTTTGACTGCCGTTTTGTTAGTTTTAAGTTTTGTTTTTGGTTGAGTTTTTCTTTTGGGTGAAAATATGTGATTGTTTGGAAAACTTCAGTTCGTTTCTGACATTTTAGCGTCGTTTTTCCGTAAAACATCCACACAGAGGTTCACATATATTCATTTCGATTTTACCTTCCATTTGGTTTCTATTCTACTATATAGCTTTTCAATAACTAAGCACCTATACTAATTACTAAATCAATTTATCGAACATTTTCCCTCGCCTCATGTCTTCATTCTATTCTCTCTTCTTAGGTTTGTGTTTTTTTACAATCAATTTTAGCCACTTATCTATCGTCTATTCTTGCCATCTATCAAATGCCACCCATATACAGTCATAACAGTCGTGTATACAATTGCATGTATTTTTTGTATGGCATTCTAACAATTTGCACATTTTCTGTTGCCATGGCTCGTTTTTTTGTTTGTTTTTTTTTTTTTTTTTTCATTTCAAAATATACAATTTTCTCTCCATTTAGAAACAATTATCCAGTTTACATGAGTTACAATAATAAAAATCTAACTTAACTTAAATAAAATAAATGTGTTGTTTGCTCTTTTCAGTAGAAATAATCAGTTCGCTAGCTGCCAACAAGTTCGATTTGGCGGTATTTTTTTCTTAAATTAGACACAGAATCACGATATAAAACAGGATCTAGACGGAGATTTGAGCGCAGCAACGGCATATAACTGAGAAACAAAGGAGAAAAAGAACAGAAAATGAAAGGAAAATGTACGTGTGATGTATGATTTAGAGAGAACATGATGAATCCACGTTACGAAAGCAATGATTAAACGAAAAAAAAAAAACATGCTAAAAAACTTACCCAAAAACTGCAGCGAATGTATTTAAGCAACTTTGTCGTTGTATAAAATGATCAGGATCATTCCATGGACTTCTGTAAATAAGAACAAGACACGAATAAAAAATTAAACTAAAACCATGAATATTCACTTTGGCGATTAAAATTTGTTTTTGTTAACTAAAATAATGATAGCATAATAGTTATTCATTTTGTTTCGCACCTTCCGCTTTCACGGTCTTTGTAGCCTTTTCGTTGAGTGACTTTAATGGGTGCTTTTCGTGTAACATGCGATATCAAAAAATTCATGAGAATGTCTTCGCAATTCGATGATTGTTGTACCGTTTTCAATAATAACAATGGCAACCAATTTGTGTACACATAGTTATAGTATTGATGATAAAATGCAGCACCCGTTAGTACAATTGAATAGTAATTCGTCCATTTCGATGTGTAACCCCAAGCATTCTGCAATTTATCGAAAGAAAAATGGAAAAGTTGAAATGGGTATCAATCAAATGTTTAAATGGGAAATTGAATATTAAATGAAAAGTAAATGAAAAAAAAAAAATGAATCGAAAATGGCAAATTGAATTTTCACAGTAGCGACTGGTTTTTTTTTTCCACCATTTTTATAGTCTGTACAATGTTTTACCTTGGAATCATCCCAGAAGTGTGCACGAGCTGGATAGCCAATGATGCGATCGGGAAAGTCACGCCACACACGATAGGCAAAGTCCAATTCGTCTGTATTTAGTATAGCATCTTCATCTAATGACAAGATTGCATCGGTATCGATAAACTTATGCGGATAGAATCGATGCGAAATTGTTGGTCGTTCATCGTTACCAATCGATGATATAATGTGCATTGGTATGGCACCGGTGTTTGGCCATCGCTTTTTTGACGGTATCGGTCGATCCGATGCCCATAAAATTATAATCTACCAAAAAAAAAAATGAACAAGAAGAGACGAATAATGGAAATTATTCGAAATTCAAGTTTGGAAATTCTTATTCAAGTGAATTTTCCGTCCACGTTCACATATTTGTCAATTGTTTTATTTCAGTGGTGTGCACTATTTCAGAACACAATAAATAGAACAATGAAACAAAAAAGACGTAAAACACAAATAAATACTTACTCTAGCTACGTATTGACTTCGTGTTATTGTTTTGACTAGACGATAAAGTGCAGAGCTTGGTGTTAATGTAACACCAATTTGTACAAATATCACCGCTGTAAAATTATGGCCTGGTTCCTTATTCAAAATGTCCAATAAAAATGGCATTTTTACTGACGAATCAGCAAATGTTGGTATTGTTAGCAATGCACCAGGTGCATTATTCCAAATTAATCCATTTCGTAGCGGATAGTCAGGTAAGCGTTCGCGTATTATCTAAAAAAAAAAGAAACGCAAAAAGATGAGAAGCGTAAAAACAATGAAGCTAACAACAATTGGCAAGGTGGAGTGTGATGAAAAGAAAGCAAAAAATAGAGAACAGACACAGTAAATTGGAAAGAAAAAGCCACATTTTGAAAACAAAAAAACTGAAATTCTGAATGTGTGCATCAAATGGGTGACTGCATGAGAAAGACCTGCTGAAGTTGCAAACGATTTTCAAGTAGACCGAATTAAGTGTACTCTCATGGTGAAGCATTCCGTGCTTTGAAAATACACACACATGCCATACTTTGTCATATGTCGCTGCCACAACGACGACTCCATCGGCATTGGCGACAACGACAGGAGAGGGATGAAAATGAAAAAAAAAAGCAAATGAATGGGACAATTCAAATGGAATTTCATGCACTTGCACATAAACATCCGCCAACCAATCTCCATAGTTAGTAATGGAAAATGGATTCAATAGCACAAAACATTTGCATTTATACATTGACTCAAAAACAAAAAGGCCATCGCCACCAGATAGGAAGAAGAAAACAGAATTAAATAGACGGAGGTAGAGACACACACACACACAACACAGAGAGTGAGAGAGAGATAGAGAGGGCGGGTGAAAGAGAAAGAAAGTTGTATATCAATGCGAGCATAAAAGGGCTAGGGTATAAATTACATACACACGATGGCTGAATCAACAATTGTGCATGAATGACGATGGCGACGACGACGTTTCTGGATATTCTGAATCGACAATGAATGTATGTAATAGAAAATCGACTGTTCCAAGTTCAATATTAGAACGATCTATATTATGGCATTCAGGTCCAATTGCAATTTCATATCCATTATTTATAATGTCTCGAATTTACATTTCGTTTCATTCGTTGTAATTCGTAACGAGTTTCCCACATATCGTATCGACATGAAGTGTGTTTTTGTATGCGGTGCTAAGCTTTTTGGTCCAGGTGAAGGATCGAAAGTGTGTTTAATTTATCTACTTGGACTAATAATGAAACTTCGTCCGAATTTTATCTCATTCATTTTCAATGTTGGAGCAGCAAATGCAAGGGCGGTAATACTATGATTCGTTTGCTTGTTGCGTGTTTTGACTGCCGTCAGCGTTTCATCTTGCAACCGTTCTCCCCTTTGCCCTCCCATCCATTCAAAACAAAATTCATTTTGTCCATTCGTTCATTCGTTACGAATTTTATTCGAACAGCATTTGGCCGATGCATGAAGACGACGATGGCAACTGCCTCATAATGAACACATAACTGTTTATGGGTAGGAAATTGGTTTGTTATTACAAAGTGATTAATGATTGTTTTATTTGGGCCTTGGTAGCAGGCATCAATGTTATTTGTTTGATTCAGCATGCAATGTTTCTTATTTTCACGTGGCATGCAACTCTTTCTTCTTCTCTTTCGCTTTCTCTCTCACGCACTCATATGCACTATGCCATGAACCTTTTTTTGTCTAGTCGATTGCTCGTTTATCAACCAATCGTTTATCCGTTAATAAGTTATTAGTTTGGTTAATTTTTTATGCAGAGAGTGGTTTTTATCTCGAATCGATCAGCCGCTCTCATTGATATAATAGCATACATCGGATTTTCGGCTGTTTAACAAAAAAAAATTATACGAAGGGAAAATAAGTCATTGAACTAATGAATGAATACTGCATATTTTATGCGGTGTTGAAACTAATACTATGAGCTAAAATTGAGGCATTGGTTGCCGCCCACAAGTTGGGCTTTCCTTCAGCCAAATAAATTAAGTGCGGCAATAAATATGAGTTTATGTGCGCTCAAGAAAGTGAGCTTTCGGCTCATTCTACTTGTCAGAAGCCACGTTATAACTCTTACAAAATGACACGGCACACAGTAAAAATGGCAGCAGTACCAACAACTTTTACATAATACATATACACATAGTTCAGAAAGCGTTTTTCGTTGTTAAACATATCTTTGGCGAACTGTGCACACGTCCATTGGGAATTCAAAGTATCATGAAATTGATCAAACTTTGGTGCCACCACTGTACAATCATCATTTCGTGCGTATATTTGTTCGTATTTTTTGTTGTCCATTCTCTTTTTACTTCTTTATGATTTTATTTTTACGTCACAAAGTTTTTCGGCTTACAAATTTTATGGTTATACATTTTTTTATTCGTTTGCTGCACGATTTTAACATTTATTGGGCCAAAGAGCAATTGATGATCCGGTTATGCTTTGGGCACATGTGAAACAGGCACATTTAATGTTCCAAAATGGTGTTTGGGAATGAAGAGTGACACTGAGAGAGAGAGAGAGAGAGAGAGAGACGGAGAAAGTGACGACTATTACCTTCTTATCTCTTATAGAAATCGCATGCAAGTGACAAAACAAATCCAGTGTGCATGTGAATCAGCATTTATTCTGTGTAAACTAACTTTCAACTAACATTCAACACTCACTCTCACTTAATGCCCACCATATTCTATCTGTGTTGTATGCCTAACATATTCTCGCTTGGCTGTTCGCTCATTCATTGTGCGACATAATGCACACATTTCTCAGCTCATAAAAACTGAACTTCAATGGGGATGATACAGTTCGTTTAATGATTTCATTTCACTATGGGATAAATACTGTAATATGGGCCTGATACATTCAAAGAAAAACGATATGATGAAATATTAAGTCGAGCAGAAATGACGACGAAGCGATTTTCTTCTGTTTCTTATTTTTTTGTGTGTGCCACTATTGTCGATTTTTTCCATTTCTTTTTCTATATATTATCGATTTGTTTATACTACGTGAAAAGATCCAATAAATGCGATTCAAATTCTTTTGAATGATACCATTTACCAAGCACGACAATCAAAGTCAATATTTTAATGCAAGAATAAAAAATGAGATGAGAAACGAGTCAAGATAAAAAAAAGTCAAACAACAAGATGAAATATATTCATGGCATATATGAAATGAAAGTTCGTTATTACAACAAAATTGATAAACAACAATGTACAATTCTGTTCATTCAAAATACCGAGTGGATGTTTAGTGTGTGTAAGGCACATTTTATTTGTTTTCTTTACGTATTTTCTTATTATTTCTTTGTTTTGTTGCTCCCGCTTTTCCTTCGATTTCATTTCGAATAAAAAAGGGAAACATTCATCGCTATCTCCGAATGAAATGAAATCGGAATACAATATCGATTGAATTTATGAAAAAATGCGCTTGAGAAGTTTGAAATCCATTTGGTCTGATGCGGGCTGGGCGCACTGACTTGGGTCTTTTGTTTGATTGAACGCAACATACTTTTTTTTCGGGCACTATATTGTTGAAATTCATCAAATGCCAAAGCAGACTTTTTTCCCCATTTCAAATATGCATATTTTCTAAAGTGGACGTTTAAAAATCGTGCCAAATCGGTTGGTAGCTTTAAATCAAATACACAAAGTTTTACATATATTGATATAATTTACAACATTCCAATCGGTTATTGCTCGCAATTGTTCGTTTGAAGGAGGGTAACTTATGCCACGATTTCAGATCGAGACTCGTTTTCTCCATTCACTATAATTTCCAATTTGAATCTTGAAACTTAAATTAAATTTTATATTTCTATATATAATTTGCTTATGACTTATATTTTAAAATGGAATTATATTTCAAATAAATGATTGCGTCTTCCCAAAGGGATCGAAAAAGCAAGAAAATTGAAATCGAACGAACGAACGAACGAGCGATAGAAAGAAAGCGACATGTATAGCCTAAGGAATTGTATAGTGCAATATTCAAGTAGTATAAATATGCATTCAATTATATAAGCAAAAAGATTGACCGTCAAAGAAGAGGGTATATACTGTTATTATTGTTGCTAGCTAAGCAAATTTGCTCATTTGATATATATATATATACAGATGGCTGAGCTAGTGCCCATGACTTAGCTGTATGGTCGAACACTACAAAAATGTTGATTGATGTATTTGGGATATAAGTGTGATTAGGTTCCATGGATGGATGAATTGAAACATCGCGCAACTATTTAATATGTATCATCCATCGTATCTCTCTTTGTGTTTACGTCAATGGGTGCTTGTTCAATGTGTATAGTCTCCGATTTATCGGAGCTTAATTTATTGAAACAAAAACTCCAATAATACACCGCCAAAGTGAAAATGTTGATTGATGGCTCTTTTTAATTATGTACATTCGCATGCGAATCTAAGCCATTTGTCAGGAAACTCTTTTGCAGAAAGTGAGCACCTGTATCCGTAACGACATTTTCGAATACAAATTGTACATTTTTCGACACTGACTCAATGAAATATTCTCAAAGATAAATTTCAAATAGTCATGCAATCATCATAAACTTCTTCGAAATATCGTTCCGTATGGGCAAGTCTTGAAATTCCAAAAAAAATTAAAACTAAAAATGAAAAATATTCATCGATATTGAGATTATCAGACTATAATACACACATCATTATTCATCAATTCTATTGCACCGTAATTTCATATACAAAATAAACGTAAATATATACTATTGAAGGACAGCTAATCTTTGGTAATTATTCGACATTTTCATTTCATCGACTGAGCGAATTATTTGAAATTTGTGGCTGGATGAGTGTGTATATTGTTGAATCGTTCATAGTGTTCAATTCAATGTTTACCGATATGTTTGAAGCGCTTTCCAAATATTTTACCGTATCCACAAATAAAGTCAAAATGTACAATGGAATATTGTATATTTGGTTTAGAACTCTATTTCAAAGATTAAGTACTGTTTCGGGCTGTCTCGCCTTTTACTCTATCAACCAGCTAATAGCTTTCAATGAAGTGAAATTCACGGTGAACTTATCGGTTTGTGTTAAAATGTTTCATTTTCGAGTGTCAGTTTGTGTACACAGAAAGTAGCATGAACGATAGACGCTTAGATCAAATTTTTCGTTTACCATTTAGAGATAATGCCATAAATTTGCACGAAAATCCACTTTAAGTCA